CCCTGCCCCGGGGCCAAGGGCAGCCAGGCAGGGCCGGCTGGCCCCCGGGGCTGCGTGGGGACACGGAGCTGCAGGGCACAGGCTGGAGCCAAGGACCCTGCAGCTCACTCAGCGCCCCAGCCCCAGCCCCGAGCACGCAGGGTCGCTGCCAGCCCCGCCAGAGCAAAGCAGGCAGCGGGGATCATGACCAAGGCCGGGGTGCCGCCACCCGGACCCACGGCTGCCCTGCTCCTACACCCAGAGGAGCCCTGCCAGAGAGCATCCCCCTCACCCCATCCTGGCCCCGGCGCTTCAGGGCCGGCACCCGGCACCCAGCACCCAGCGTCCCCCCAAACCCACCCAGCACCACTGGACGGGGCTCAGGCCCCGACGGCCCCCAGCACCCTGCCCCACCCCAGCCTGCCCGGCGCAGGAGCTCCACGCCAGCCGCGTGCCCAGCAGCCCGGCTGCTCCGTGCCCTGCACCCCTCCCCGGCTGCCGGGGCAGACCCCGGCCCACTCACCGACGCCATACTTCTCGTCCTTGGTGGGCAGCCAGGGGCCCATCTCCGGCGGGCACGGAGCGGCAAGCGCCCGGCTGCACGGCTGCGAGTTCCTCCCTGCGCTCAGTCGCCTACGTCACCGGCTTGTGCAAACCTCACTGGGCCACTTCCTCAAAGCGCAGCCGGGCCCCAGCACTGAGCACCCTCCGCCCCACCTGGCGGGGGCTCCATTGCCAGACCCTCCCCACGGCCTGGGTGCAGCGAAGGTGGGCGCGGGGCTCCCACCCACCGGCCCCCTCCCGTGCCACGAGGGACAGAGGCCCAGTGCCTTCCCGCGTGCTGCTGCTTCCCAGGTCGAGGGCAGTTGCACGGCCCCCCAGCCCCAGTGAGCTGCCCCAGGAGGCGCCCAGCCGGGGCAGCTGCAGCCCTAGCACCAAGCAGAGATGGGGCTCGGGCCCCGGGGCCGCACAGGCGACGCTGCGCCGAGTGCTGCTCGCCTGCCCTGCAAGGGCAGCTCAGGGGCCGCGAGGAGCCGGATGGACCCCGTGAGACTCGTCGCGGCGCCCGCAGGCACCTGCCCGGCTGCAGGGAGCCAAGGCCCCAGGTGAGGCCCAGGTGAGGCAGTGTCGCGGGGACGTGGCCGGGGGAGCCGCTTGGCCGCAGGGGACCACGAGAACCAGCCGGACCCGCGCAAGCCAGGGCCCAGAGCCAGCCGCTGCCTCGAGGCCTGAGAGCCCCGGATGAGGCCAGCAAGGCCTGGCCCCCGCGCCTGCCTCCCCGACCCCTCTGGCCGCCGTGGAGCAACCAAAGCCCCAGGCAAAGGCGTCCATCGCTCGGGGTCGTGGAGCAGCTTGGAGAGCAGAGCCCAGGGGACATGAGGTATGCAAATGAGCTAATGCATATTCATGGCATGGGTACGCCAATTGAGCTAGCGAGCAGCTCCGGCGCTGGTGCCACAGCACCACCTCCCGGCACCGCGATGAACCGGGCCTGGGTGCCGCTGGGTGCGCACAGCCGGCAATGCCAGGGTGGGCTCCCGGGGCCGGGGCACAGCCTGGCAGCGCGGGGTGGGAGCAGGGCAGGACCCAGTGCCCGTCAGCCCCTCCCGGGGCAACGGGCCTGGTCGCCGCACGCGGATCTGGGGGCAGTGCCAGGACCA